GGGGGGGGGGGGGGGGGGGGGGGGGGAGGGGACACTATTGGTTCAAAGAAAGGGCGAGAGCGGCGGATACGTTTGTCTCCGGGTACCGTAGAGCTTTTCTTGAGGCAAGCGTCGGCAGACGTACACCTTCAAGGCAGTGGACGGCACATGACTTCCAAGAATACGGGGACAAGCAAGCAAGAACCAAGGCCTTGAACCATCCATACCTTCACGAGCGTTCCTTCGACGAGCGCCACGAAGCTCTGCCTGTTCCGCGCCGCCGTCTCGACGGAGGCGTTGAACTCATGGACCGCGGCGTTGTGGGCGCGGGGCCCGGGTTTCCTGAGCACGGCGAGGCGCCTGGCGAGCTTGTGCGCCGCCGGCACTCTCTTCCACGCCTCTTCCTCCAGCTGCTGGGTCATCTGGTTCCCCAGAGACGGCGAGCCGGACGAGTACGGATTGGCTCCAGCGTTCTCCTGAGCCGCTCGGAGGTGCTCGTTGAGCGTCAAGACACAAGACAGCCCGCCAAGCAGCGGCCCGAGCACGGACTCGGCCTCGAGCTCGGCGCCGTGCGCGTACTCCCGGCGCGCCTCAAGGCCGAGGACGGCCGCCAAAGCAGCGGCACCGGCGGCGCTCCGAAGCAGCCGCTCTAGGCTCTCGAGCCCCTCCAGAGGCTGCCACGCCTCTAGGCGTCGAGCCGTGTCCGCCCAAGCTGTTGCGTTGGCCGATGCTGCTGTAGCCCTCGTCCCTCGCCGCCCAGCGGGGACCTGGGCTCCTGGTGATGCTGCTTCCCCTCGCACCTCACGTAAAACTGCAACAGCGAGCCGCAGGGACGCCCTTGCCGCTGAGGGATTCCCTAGGAAGACGTGGCGAACCATCAACGGGCTAGGCGAGGTGCCCAGAAATGCTAGCAGTAGAGCACCGCCTTGTTCATCAGCGCTCGAGAAGATATCGTCCTGCAGGTTGCAGGCAGAGGGAGGGGGGAAGAAGTTTTGGCGAGATGACCAAAACGGCTCGCCGCGAGGGGTATAGGGTTTGTTGCCGTTGCACGGCAGCATGCTCCCGTAAGATTGATGAGGTTGTGCGACCCAGCCCAACTGGGAACGAAACATCATGGGTTGGCAATCGTACAACAGCAGAAGACAATGTTGATAAGAGCGCTTCTGCACGACTGCTGTGTAGGCCAAAGCAAGCAAGAACTTGCCACCTGCCCTAAGAAACTACCGAAGCTACCGCACGCACGTCACGTGGCCTCGATATATCAAGCATGAACGCACAGAGTGAGAACCTTGACGCCACATGTACTACGGCAATCTTTGTTCCAACCCCAGCGGAGCCACCCTCTCACTGCTACATAGTCACACCTGCATGGCGTCGAGGTGCAAACCAAGCACATCAGCAGCCACGCGCGCGGCCTCCACCTCCCCGGCCCCCCACGCGGCATCCCACCACCTCCGACAAACGCCCGCCGTGGTGTCGGGGCCGGCGGGGCCGTCGCCTCGGCTCCTCCAAGTAAGATCATTGCCGACCACGTCGACGCAGACGATGCCGGTCAGTGCCTCGTATGCTGGACGGGCCCCTGATTCCAGCAGCTCCAGCAGCTCGCTCAGCTGCATCCATCCCGGAAGGTTAGGCGGCGGCGGCGGGGGGGTGGGGGCTGGGCCGGTCGCCAGAGGGGTGGCTACTGCTGCTGGTGCGGCCGTTGGAGATGACGGTTGCGACTCCGGTACATCTGATGGCCGCCCGGGCCTAGATCCCTCTAGAGACGTGGTCATCGGAGCTGAGGCCGAGATGCAGGGCGGCTGCTCTGTTTCTGTGGCAGAAGGAGGCGTTTCCGGCGCAGGAGTGGCTACTGCTGCTGGCGCGGCCGCTGGCGATGACAGTTGCGGCTCCGGTACATCTGATGGCCGCCCGGGCCTAGATCCCTCTAGAGACGTGGCCATTGAAGCTGAGGCCGAGATGCAGGGCAGCTGCTCTGTTTCTGTGGCAGAAGGAGGCGTTTCCGGCGCAGGGGTGGCTACTGCTGCTGGCGCGGCCGCTGGCGATGACGGTTGCGGCTCCGGTACATCTGATGGCTGCCCGGGCCTAGATCCCTCTAGAGACGTGGTCATTGGAGCTGAGGCCGAGATGCAGGGCGGCTGCTCTGTTTCTGTGGCAGAAGGAGGCGTTTCCGGCGCAGGGGCGGCGGCGTCGGCGGCGTCGGCCAAGGCGGTCGGCGGCGGCGGGGAGGAGGGCGACGACGAGGTCCTGGGAGCTCTTCTTGTTGTAGCTGCGGATGACGACGACCTCTCACCGGCAAGGTCTGCGTTGCTGTCTTCATCCCGCTGGCTGGCGCTCCCGCTGTCGGCGGGGGGAAGAGTTGCTGCCGCGACGAAGGCCTCGCGTTTGTTTCGAAGCTCCGAACGGCTCGCCACCGTGTTGACCTTTTTCTCGGGTTCGACGTGCACGAGCGCGTCCGTCCTTTTGGTCCTTGAAACTCTTTTCTTGGGGGTATGTTTCGCCTTTGGGTCGGAGTTGGTGGTGGTGGCAGTGGCCCGACGCTCAATGGGAGTACTGTTGACCTGTGTTAGGAAGAGACGAATGAGATGTTAGAGAAGGGCAAGGGGGGAGGGTATCGAATGGGTGTAGGCATGTTTTGGGCGCGCTATGGTACCGATAACTGAACGTCATCAGTTCCCATTGAGTATCCTTGCTGTTTTTCCATGCGACTCAAGTTGCCCCTCGTCTTCTTAGTATGTGCCACAACCTAGGGGTGCACAGGATTGGGAATCCTCTGCCGTGGGGCAGTGGGGCGCCTCACAGGAACTTGAGCACTGATACTACAGCGCTGCTGTGCACATGGACCGCAGTACTGAGATGCGGTATTCGAAGCTACCGGGGGGGCTCCTTGTGTGTGAGAGAGCGGGTGCTTGATTTACTGTCTTATCAATTTGCCTCAGGTATAGTCTTGGCCCCAAGGTTTACCTGCCGCCCCCCGGCAACTCCCATGGACAACGGGACCCCGGAAATGGTTCGTGCATGTACAAGACAGCGGCATACCGCCTGTTCGGACAAGCCCATTGTTGGTTGCAGATAAGAAAGGCGTGGCGTTCTATTTGAGGTGATTCCACCTGGTACTAACCATGACTTCGATCCAGCTTGCTCGTTCCGAAAACAGCTACAAGTAAGTAGTCTTCAGTGTTTTAATTAAACAAAACAACAACGAACGCATTGAAACTGATGAAGCAGCCCTGTGGATAGAAGGGTTATGTGTTTGGGGTATCTCAGCTTGTGTCAAGGGAAGGGTGTCGCCCTAACACGCCACACGAATGAGCAAGCTGTCGCAATTGCATGTACAGCAGTATTCTGGAGTAGCAGAAAGTAAAGGGTTTGCCCTCCACGTGCCCTGCACGTATGGTATATGTATTCCGCCTCGGTATTGAAAACCGTCACACCTGAGAGCCCAGCATCGCCATGCGCTTCCGTCTAAGCTCTGCAGTATCCACTGCTGGCTCAGCAACACTCTCGTCTCGCTTCTTCTTCCACGTGGTTCGCACCAAGATCACCAGCGCCGCACCAACCAGCAGGACGCCAAGGACGCCCATGTCTAGAAACGTCCTCGCTACTCCGTTGCCTGGAAGAGAAGCCATCGTTGCGCCCAGCGGCCTGAAAGCCTGGGTGTTGATGAACGAGCTCTCGTCTGCATGCACGATCGCTGGTGTTTGAGTGAAGGGTTCTTCGATAGGTCTCTCGGCTGGGGCAGCGCATCTCGCTTGGCTCTTTGCTGCTGCAGAAGCAGCCCGGTGAAATTTCCGAGATCGTTCCGAATGAAACCGCCATGAAAAATTTATTCCGCCGCACCGACTTCCGACGTGTCGGACGACGATGTGTGCGCTTCTTCTTTCACTGTTCTGCCAACCCTCTGAGATCCAGCATCTCGAGCCTTCCCGTGCTCAGAGCAGGCAACAATTCGACCATGAGGAGACTACTCAACAGGTGCCGATGAAGAGAACGTTGTGCACTTTTGTACTACTGACTGTAGACCCTACATGTAGATGTAATCCATAGAAGAGTGTATCAACAAAATCCTTGCCGAAAGTCATGGAACAAATAAATGACCGTATCCAAAGAACATACGGCCCTGCGGCCAGCGCGATACGCTCTTCAGTGGGATCCTCCGCATAAGTCGGGGTGTGCAGGGACATACTGGACAAAAGGGTCTAAGAAGAACCACGACCACCACCACCACCACCGCCGCCGCCACCATCACCACCACCAACACCATCACCAACAACAACAAGAGCAACAAGGAGAGACAACGAACAACTGTGGCAGTGCTCCAGATACTTGGTACCACTACACTAACAAATTATCTTGTTCTGTACTTCTTCTCACAACAAGTGTGTTGACAAGCCCCTTTAGTCTACATGTGGAAGACGACAGTACGTGGTTTCATGACTGACTGACTGACTGCGAAATCATACCTGTGACCACCGAAGCCTACACCAACGTCTGGAGACCGGGTTCGTACACACGTACCTACTAAAAATACAGCATGTTGTGCGGTGAAGAGTCGTTCCTCTCGCCTGCATCATACGCTTCATCACTACGATATGCGGCACACACATACAGGCAAGCAAGCCGAGGGCCTACAAGCGGAGCTGACCCGGCTAGCCCATTTTCTACCGACTCCGAGGACAACCAACGAGAACCCAGAGAAAGATTCGGGTGAGCCATAGATAAACATAGGAAGATTTCGAAATCCTGGGCTCGACGTCATTACGGCCGAATCAGTGGACCAGACGAAGCACATTGGAGTGCATTATGGCTTAAATGTGGTATTCCTGGCTGCCATTTCGTAGCACCCCCAGGAGACAATTGATGCAGAGGTGTTCACGTACGATCGTCGTAGCTAGTTTGTTTGGGCAGAGGTTCCTTGCACCAATATTTAGGGTGGGAAACGCGTCGATGGCCGCGACTAACTACCCCTTTTTGTTCAGTCTCTCAAGCAAAGGAGTGGACAACAACCGTTCACATTTCGTTGTGTCCGTAAGACAAGCTGCTTCGATAGCTACGATCGTTTGTATGCTTTCCCACTACATATCGTCTACTGAACCATTTAAAATGTTGTGTTGACCTAGGGATAGGATGACCTCTGACTCCACGGACGGGGAAGTGAGGTCGACGCTATCTGCAGCTGATGGTCAACGCAATCGAAGAAGAGACGAACGTGGCAGGACGTCCCCGTCACTCCTGCAGCTGGCGAGGCAACGCTCGATGCAGAAGGTGAAAGGCCGTGAGACAAAGGCTGTCGCACCTTGAGTGCATCGAAAAACGGGCAAAGACACGCGGTGGCGGCAACACCATCATGGTGCATCTGACTCTGCGAAGAGTTGGTCGCCGTGTTGGCTCATAGGGTGCCAATCAAAGTACATGTATTTCCGACATCGCCTTCAAGGTCCGGCTGAAAGCAGGGAACCCCTCCACGACACTCGCAGAACTCCTGTTGTAGATTGTCCAATACGCACAGTTATGCACAGAAGACGGTTCAGAAGCGACGGGCACAACCTTTGTCAAGAACCGTATGCAATCGGACAAACTTGCAGGTACCAGGAACGCCCGGCTCAACTTCTGGAAGGAATTCTCCCACCAATATTCGGGAAGAGGTGGAACCACAGGCAGAGGCATCAGCAGCGGCGGTGGGGGGCAGACGTTCTGTCAAGTCCTGGGAAACACCGCACAACGTCGGTCAGGGGATGGGCAGCGGCGATAACGGTGACGACGGCACACTGTTTCGGAGGGGGTCCGGCGGCTTTGGGATAGGGGAGGCCCAATTTGATGAAGAAGAGCCATTGCTCCGCGAAGAGGTGAGTTGCCTGATAGCGAGAGAGCATACATACCTGTCATTCCTGTAGCCACTTCTTTGCAGAGAATTATGACCCTTCAAATGGAGAAAATATATGAAAAGCAAGACGAACGACAAGGGTGTCAAGAAGATATTGTGAGTACTGCGCCAGTCGTTCGACAACTTGAGCATCTCTTGGTGCGGTAGAACTAAATGTGTGTCGTGATTAGAAAGCATCCCACTGCGCCGTGAAATACACCTGTTTACGAATGACAACCACGGGTCGGAAGACTCCGGCAATTTCTCTCGAAGGACGCAGCGACGCAAAGAAAGACAAGAGTAGCGATGGAATCCTACGCCCCCCATCACGTGCAAATATCTGTAGGTTTTCTTGTGTAGGTAGTATGAGAAAACCGTTCTTCAGTCATCTTGTTTCAAGTGGTGACAGCAGATGGAACGCCATCCGACGGAAGAGAGGCGCCGCCCTTTCATGTTGTCCCGCGATAAGGTGGCGGACTACGTGGGGAGCATCGATTTCCGAGACGGCACGGGCCCGAGCGCGCTTCCCCCCAACGAGGTCGTGCGAGCGTTTCGGGACGCCGACGAGATCGCGCTGTTGGGAAGGGGCGGGGAGTTCTGGTCGCGTCTAACGGGGGATGGCCATGGCAGGGACCAGCGCCACCACTCGGTGGGAAGGGGGGACGGCAGAGCGGGATCAAGGGGGGTGGGGAGAGAACCGCGTGGTGGCGGTGCCAACGGGAGGCGAAGACGGGTTGTTCACGTCGAATCCGCGACCACCGGCAAGTTTTTCAAGGTGAGCCTCCTCACCCCCCCCCCGTTCTTGCTTCCCATGAGAGATGCATCAAAATGGAAACGCTACGATGTAGCTCTTGGTACAAAGCGGGGGGAGAGCTGACCACAACATCGCTGCGCAACAGCAAAGCAAAAATAGCACTGTTGTTCGTCGGCGCTGCTACAGCTGAGGAATTGATACCTCTTCCTGCAAGTGATAGACTATATACAGGCCTGCTGATCAATGAAAGAAGGCTTGAAACAATTCGGTACCCCCCCCCCTCCTCATCGATATCCCATGTGCCTGCAGGGAGTCGCTCAATAAGCACTGCAGGCATGTGAATCGTGCTGAAAAATCCATCACTACCTTGAATAAAATCGGCCCCCCTTACCGCACCCATCCAGGTCTATGAAGGACTGGGCGGGTCAAGAGGAGGCGGCGAAGCATGGAGCACGAGCGTCCGCCACCCGGGTGGTGGGGACGGCGCCGGTGAAGACGGCCTTGAAAAGGAAGGGCGCGAGGGCCGCGGGGCGGGTAGCGGGGGCGGCGGTGCTGGAAGCTTTGCGGAGGATGAAGTCCGGGCGGCCGAGAGGCTCGGAATACCCGTCCGAGAGGTGGGGTTCGTGATACAAAGGAGGGCTCGTTTCGAACTCCTGCATACGTAGTGACAACCGGTTGGCGTCCGTGAAACGGCGCGTGTTTGGTGCAGCGCTTTGATATGCCATCCGTGAGGGGGAACTGCAGTATGTCACTTACTGGCGACCTGAAGACCGATGACTTTCCTTGCGAGAGTTGTCGAAGAAACCGTAGCTCGCCTCAGGTACCTCCCGCCCCACCTGCGCGAGCCGCGAAGGCCTCTGCGTGGCGATGGTGTCTCGCATCCGGTATTCCATTCACACTCCGTTCATTCTGGTGATGACCTGTGGTCGTCGTTCGAAGGTGTCGCTAATGAGACTCAACAAAGGCGTCGAGGCAGGAACTTTGCTCGTCCAGGGTGTCTTAGCGGGCCTGACGTTGGCGTCAGCGTACGCGATGCTGTTGGCCGAGAGTCTCGAGAGCTTCGTCGCCGCATATGAGGTGCGGATGAGCAAGGATGCCTGCCTGCCGATTCTGGTTCTGTATTCACACCCGTACACATGGGGGATTGACACTTTGGTCGTGATGCGCTGTCAACCAAACAAACATGAGGATAGAAGAACATCGCAGTACTTATCAACCTCGATAGTCGTTTTCTTGCTGAGAAGGCACAGAAGCCCGTTTACCCTAAGATTTCCGACGACGGGCTTCTGTCAACGAGCCGAGATAGAGCGTCGTGGGGGTTCCAGAGGTCTTGACTACGGACGACCATAAGATCATCTCTTCGAAACACGACCAGATCAAGGCGTGCCCCAATTTTGAAGCCGACGTCGCGTGGGGGCACCTGCTTCTTGCCCCACAGGCACAAGCAGGAGAGATTCGGCGCGCCATGTTTTTCCTTTGCACGCTGGCCCTCATGGGTACTGAGGACCAGCTAATGCAGGCGAAGGGAAAGGGGGAGGTCTGGGCAAGACTCGGGTGGTGGGGCAGGCTTGATTTGCAGGTAAGTACCGGCTGCAGGGCACGTGTATTTCTGTTTTCTTGACGGACGGGCATGTGTTTTGGGCATGTTATAGAGGTGCCGTCATCCATCACACATACACAAGCTCTGTCTTCGCCTCCGTTTGTAATTCCGAGGGAGACGAATGGAGGAGTTCTTCGTGCAGAACATATTCGTCTATTTCTGTCGAGCGGGGTGGCCCCTGGCTGCCATGTGCGTATCACCTTGTCACCACCCACCCTCGAAGTCGGTACTACGTTGTACCAAAGCACGCGATGTTTCTGTTAACGCTCAAACATGGAATGGCGCTTTATGTCATTTGGTAGAGCTAGTAACCCGCATCTCAACGACGTGTCACTACCCTCTAACAATTATTTCCACTACCAGCCGTACCCCTACCCTGTAGAAGATTGCTTCGACCAGGAGCATACGTCTCTTGTGCGTCGTTGGTTTTGTCGGTCCGCCCGTTCTCCATGTCCGCTGCCCCCCGGAAACGTCAACAACGCCCTTCTGACGGGCACCCTAACCTATTTCTCCCGCGCGACACCTCCCAACAATAGTTTGTCCTAAATTCGTGACCTGGGCCTGCTCCGGTCGGGTCCCGTATGCCTTGGCAGGCGATTCCACGCGACGCCAGCACCACATTCGCAACGTTCTTTGTGTCGAAAGGCAAACAGTCAACTGCCACGGAGGGAGCACGTTTCTATGGGAAATTTTTCTATTTAGCGCTCGCTTCCAGCATAGGCAGGCAGTGCCAAACTACAGAGTGGGGTCGTCGCACTACTGATCCTAACAGCACCCCCGATCGATCTGTTCCCAGGGGTCCGTCCTCTTGTACGGAGGATGCCTTGTGAGCTCGCTCGTGTGCGCGGTTGCCGACACCGGAATCGCAAACGCCTATGGGTCCTCGGCCGAAGGATGGTACGTCAGCGAGATGGAAGACGGGCTTCGATCAACGGTGGGTACCTACAAAACACAAGACATGTTCGTTCGATGCAAGATCGCGTGGAGGCGGTGGTGATGCGCACCTGTCGTTCCGGAGTTTTCGAGTAATCTGTACTGCAGCCGAAGTGGACAAAACCTGTGCTGACCACCCTGCATGCAATACACATGTCGCAATGGTCCACATAGTGCGCATGTTATTCAATTTGTGGTCGTCTACCCCGCTCAGGTCCTGTTGTGGTACGGCTGCAACTTGGCGAGGTTATTGCTCGCTTGGATTGGGTTGTTCCTGGTTTGCAGAAGGCGCTGGCGAGCATCCTTGCTCGGCGACCAGTCGCAAATCGAACTGAAAGGTGTGTTTGGGCATGAGGGGCAGGGAGCGGGGTTTTCAGCGTCATACTACATCATGCAGCTGGTTTACCCTGTGTCAAGCGCGGCGTAGCGTCCTTGGCCGCGGTTCTGGGCGCCCCCTCTCTCAACCCGCGCGACAATGCCCTCCTTTGAACACGCACACGGGGAACTGTTTGGGTATTTACATGTTAGTTCTTTGTTGATCAGCAGGTGCTACGTGCTTTAAAGTTCAACACCACGACCGTATGACGTACAGAGAAGGTCCACCAATAACGACTAGATTAATGAACGAAGCGCACCGTTCTAACAGGCGCCGAAAGGGGGGGCTGTAGTACCATTTTATCCTTTCTCACGGGGGTTTGGTGCTCCTCAGGTACACCAGGTCTGGAACACATCATGTCGGAACACCAACCATGGTATGCTTTCCAACTCTAGATACATCAGTTATGGGGCCCGTGAGTGTCGCAGCCAGTCGCAGGCAGGACTTCATCTGAAAATAAATGTGCTGTCGACGACGCCAACAAATTAAATGTCATGGAGGACACAGAACAAAAATGGGGCAGGGAGCAGGTCCACTGCTCCTTGCTTTGAGTTACTCACAACTTTGTTTATTCTCGTTGTATCCTTTTGAGACCAGGTCCACGCACTCTGGGCTCATGCGGAGAGTGCGAGGACGGGGCTGAAGTCTTGCTCCCCCCTTCAAGTGCTTCAATACCGACGGCATTTATTTCACCTTCAGACAAAAATGTATCTGTATTGCTCACTGGCTATCACAATGCTCATCATTGAACGCTCATAAAGCGCTCATACGACGTATAACGCTAGCGAATAGTTGCCCCGTTGCACTCATCCTCGTCCTCTTGTACTAGTATTCTCAAGTCGCTCCGAGGGCGCGTTTCTTCCCCCCTTGGCAAATTGTCGCATCGTTGTTGCTCAACGCCCCGGATCGGATCGATGGAAACATCCCGGCCAGGGGACCGAATCAGGGATAATGTCAGGGACCAATTAACCGTACGTAGTAGTCTACCCCGCTTCTGAGTTTCTTAATGAGTGGTACACGTAGTCATCACACAAGCAAGCGACGCTGCTGATGATGCAGAGGCTCTCCCCAAGACGAGAGATGTTCATTATGTCATCTGCTACTACACAACTCGTTCCTTCCCGGCTCGATGTGTGGTGGAATGGTCGCAGGTCAACGCGACAAGCTTGCTGCCGCTGAAGAACAGATATCGCGCCTCAACGGGAGGAATTTAGACCCTTTGACGACGAAGGAGTTGCAAGAGTTGAGGGGTTCGCTAAAGAGGGCCCTCGACAACGCGGAGCGTATGATCGGCTTGCGGTAGAAACAAACAAGAACCAGTGCGGGCTCGTTACTCCTTTGCAGTTAAGCGAAAATATTACTACCAGTGTTCCTATGACCTTTGCCAGGTGTAAAGCACTCGCTCGTTGTTGCTGCGGCTACGCTGCGGATAGGACGGAAGCTGTTGCGAGACTTCGTCCATTCGTTGGCTTCACCGCCGAAGTAATTTGCCCTCTGGAGAACCGCGGCCACGTGCTGCAACATCTACACATACTCTATCTATCTGCTTTTCGGACCACCGCGCGGTTCGTTCGGTGTAATAGAGTAGTTTGGGATAAACTGCAGCATATTGAGGTGTTAATTAAGAAGTCGAGAAGAGGGCGTAAGCCGTCGTGACGATCGAGGAACTTGCCGCGCCTTCGGTGTACGGCGAATCATACAGCGGTGACTGCTGCTCTACTACTGCTGTAGACTATATACGTATATAGCAACCGAATATCCTGCTGTGTGAAGAGCCTGGAGTTGGGGGTCCTTGGCCGTCAAACCGCCAATACAACCTGCTGAATAGGCAGCAGGTAGAGCCGTGTGCCTCTTTCTACTCAGACGCGCGACCGATCTTTCGTGCAGAGGCTGCTTTGGCAAGTCGAGTTGAGTTGCCAAATTCCAAGCAAGGTAATTGTATTTGGCTCCTCAAAGCAACCAAAAAAATATACCGAGGAGATCACAAATTATCCCGGGAGACATCCCAAGTTACGAAGCAGATAGCAGCAGATCTCTTGGACCTCTCCGAGTGCCTGGAGAAGGGCGCTCTAAAGAGGAAAGCGAAGGTCGGTCACTACTACTCTGTAGAGTATGGGAAAGCTGGGCGGTAGCATTCTACTGCTGTATGGATGGTACGAAGTTTTGAAGATGTCCCACCCATCTGCAATCATAATACAAGTAAAGTTCCAAGCAATTTCCAGCGATCGGATCGATGACGTCACCACGACGTCAACACACCGGTGCCGTTGGTGCAGCGCGCACACATACACACACGCATCAACCATCTACATACATACATCCCTCTACCGCGCATTCTCATCCCACGTCCCTGTCTCCATCGTACACGGCGGCCCCTACACCTATGGAATACCACCAGCACCGACAAGGAGGCGGTAAACTCTACGCACAAACGCCTTCTTCGGGGGACCATGCCTCGATTGTGTCTTCAATCGCTCCGTTCGATGTGGGTGACAAAATCGAACTACTTTGTTGGGTACCTGTAGCCGGGGGTCGTAGTGTGGCGGCAGGTCGTAGTGGCGATACATCGGACCACTCAGCTGTGCTTGACCAGCAAGTCCTCTCTTTGTGTCGTGTGTCCACAGACTGTGTGTTCGGGTGGCAGCAGCAGCACCACCAGCAGCAACGCCAGGAGAATCCTAGACGAGTCCGAGGTGCTTCGCTGCATCAACGAATACCGCAGGGAGCACGGAGCCCCGATGCTGCGGTGGAGCTCGGCGTGCGCCCGCGAAGCTCAGCGGCGAGCCAGCCACGAGTCCGGGCCGAGCGCCGAGTACGGCGAGAATCTTGCCAGGAGCACGGATCACAGCTGGAGAGATCCAACGATAGCATGTATCGGCTCCATCCATCAGTGGCAGGTACGTCGTACTGCTGTACTGCTGTACGCCGACAGAAAATTCTGGGAGAGTACGCACACTCCCGTCTCTCACGCATGTTCGAGAAACACCGAACGAACCCGCGGTCTTGGTTGGTCCCCTTAGGTGTGTTTCCGTGTCGTATACTCGAGTATGTAGTAGCCTCAGGTGGTGGCCGTAGCATAGATAGAGCTGGAGAGCCTGGTATGCAGGTACGTGGGTACGTGCGCGTATTGTATGAATGCACCGAGCTTGGGGTCCGACTTTTGCCGGGGCGATACCCCGCGATTCGACCCGAGGGAAGACGCTGTAACAAAGTACTGAAGTTATGCGGTAAACCTCCAAGGGTAATTGCGGGACATCCAGTCAAGGGCCGAGGCTAATGCTGAAGGGCTCGGCGCTGGTGTTTCCTTTGTTGTGGCATAGAAGTTTACTGCCGGGCTGTCCGTGGCTTCCGTCAAGACACTCGAAGACTGAAGTATCGCGTTACCACGTCATGCCAAGTATGATCTCTGAACGTTGTAAGTGCGTACCTCCGTGTTGCACTCACCTCGGTCAACCAATTTTCAAACTGTAGAACCAGAGCCGGGTATGGAACGATTACAGAACGGGCCCGCAGTTGTATTACGTCGAAGTCGGGCAACGAGGATCTCAGTGGAAGGACCAGCCGAAGTCCTCATTTGGGTTTCTTATGGGCTGTCGCATCTAATTTTCTTGTTTTCTTGAATACAACACACCTCCTCAAGAACGGTCGGTGTGGAAACTTTGATTCGGGGATCATTGACCCAAGAGTTTGGTGTTGCGAACGCTGATTGGGGGATGGATGTCGCCATCCTGGAGTTTCCTGACTCCCTCCTCGTGGTCCACCTCTAGCACCACCCACCACCCAACGGCCGCGGCGATATTTCAGTGCAATACTACTCGAACGGCATCTTGGCTGAGGGGTGGGTGGCACGGGCGGAGGATGTGGAAATGTTCTTGTGTGATGGGGTATTCGGTCGCTCTCATTTCGTATTTTGTCTTAGCCCTATTTTCAAATTATTTTCGCGAACATTTGAACCTTATTTTCGTACAAGTAACGGAATTTTGTTATATTTTAAAATTTGAGGCTCAATCTCTCAACAGCTCTCACACGAATGATACCCATGGTCTACCGTTCCCCACTCGATGATCAGAAAGAGGAGGCCGGGTACGACTACGGAAAGCCGGGCCTAAGCTCGAACACGTCCCACTTCACCGCCAACGTGTGGAGGCTCACCACCCACGTAGGCTTCGGCGTCTTCCGCGCAACGTACAAGGGAAAATCAACCATGTGGGTGGTCGCTTACTTCTCACCGAGAGGGAACCAGGCTGGCGACTTCGCCCGCAACGTCCTCCGTCGGGGCTCGGTCTACCACGGAGACGACAATATGGTCCGTCGCGCGGTGGACACAGTTTCTCCCAGCGGCCGACACCCCAGAAAGGCACCCGCCGACCGACACGCCAGAGAGGCACCCGGCACCTACGTGCGCGTGGAGACGGCCAACGCGGATGTGAAGGTGCTCCGGTCGGCCAACGGAAAGTTCACTTTCCAGGTGCTGCCTGACCGGAACATCATCGTCCGGCAGGCGGAGAGAATCATCTGGAGCAGCGGCTCGAGATCAGCAGGGAAGCCACCGGTCGGCGCCCCCTTCAGGCTCGTGCTTCAGAAGAACGGAGACCTGGTCGGGTACGACTCGGCGGCGAGAGTGTTCTGGTCCTCGGAAACAGCCAACTGCGGCCCGGCGCCGTACACGCTGACCATGCAGGATGACGGCCAGTGCGTGCTGTTCGACGGCCGCTGGAAGGCGAGGTGGGCGAGCGACTCGCGCCCCATCACCATGAAGTGAACAAAACGTCCGTTCTTGGCGGTGTAGATAACAATTTATCTTGGGGGGCACGAGAGAGCGAGGTTCATTCGTGTAGCTTTGGGGGGGGGGCGGGGGGAGCGGGTAGCTCGTTTCTAAGGGCACGGCCGCGTATCAGCGCATGTATGTAACAATAATTTGAGAGGTTTCGAGAAGTTGAGGTCGGTTTTCATTCGCCTAACTTCGGGGGGAGGGGTGGTAGCTCGTTTTTCTATATGCTGGGCCGCGTATCCAAATACACCATTTTGCGGCTTTATTTACCAGCAACGGCGAGGAGGGACACCTCACGGTTTCATCGACCACAAAGCGAATGCCGTCTCACCTAGAGCGCATAGCGCCTTGAGGTATTTGGTGAGGTTACACGCATGCATGCAGGGAGAGCTAGGGCGGGTACGGGAGCGGCATGTCATAAGGGTTGGTGAGTTGCTGTTGTTAAAATTTGTGTGGGGAAAGGCGGGATTCGCCATTGCTTGTCTCCTCCGCCGAACGAAGCGATTTAGCTTTTTATTTCGCGAAAACGTCTGTAGTGTATCTTGCGCAAGGGATTGGTTATGAGGGTAGAAGAGGTGTTTAGAGGAGGACCTGTAAACAGTATATGCAGGTGGCAGACAAAGCTGGACCTCAAATTTGTATGGCGCCGGGTACTCAAATAACTCAGTGTGTTGTTCGTGTTTGTGCGGATTTTGCGCTGGGTGCTGGCCAATTTGCTGTGCAACCTCAGGCCTCTCTCGCATGGGAGTCGACGTTTTTCGTATTTTAGTTGTTTTTCTCACTCTTGCTGCGCCCTAGAGAGTTTTTTTTAGTCTAGAATGGGTGGTGGAACGAGGCTACTAGTTGTGCCCCCGCCACAGCTGTTGAATGGCACTACTGCCGCGCTGTCGCGGTGACCCCTTCCATGCGTATGGTACTGTAACTTAACTGTTTTGTGCTACCTGTTTACGTTTGCGACGGGGCATTCGGCTTCTTTTCACTTATGTGAGTTCGTGTTTCGTGTTTGTGAGGAGGCTGTTCTTTCTCAGAGTACAAACTCGCGTGTTATCTATTCGTGAGTTAAGGGTGGGCGTGTGTGTGTTTTTTTAGGTGTGGGGCGCGGGCGGAGTGACGTTGATTTTTTGCGGAGGATAACAGCCGGTTTCTGTTGTGGTTGGACCTCCCGCGGCGTTCGCGCTACTTATTATGTTGCCATTGCAGTTTACGCACGACCCGAAATATTACTGGCGACTGCGCCATTTATTTTCCGTCTTCGTGTAAGAAAGCTGTCGTTGTGTCTACCCTACTTTGTCAACAAATGTCGGTCGATAATTTAACCCTCCTCGAGATAAGTTACCAGCCCTCGTGGTTTTGTCTTTTGGCGTTCTCTTTTTCAGTGTTTGCGTGGCCGAGAAAGACAACAACACAAGTGATGCATGGATTGGCCGTTCTATTCAAGCCTCGCAGAAAGAGACCGGGCCGCCTGCTTGTATTGGAATGCGAAGCACTGGTGTTATTCTTTTCAAGCACTATTTTTTCAGCACATCTCAAGTGCTGGTACCAAAGCACGAGCAGGAGCGTTGCCTCGTACAGCAAGCGCGCGCACGAGCATCACAGGAACTCGCTTGCGCCTTCTTTGCACCCTGCTGCAGCCCTCCGCCCGACCCGATGATAGCGCAACAATCGCAAATACGTCAAGGATTTAACACCAACGCTGACAAGGGTACCGGCGCCACCACTGCCGGCGCTCCGCTGGCGCCGCTGCTGCAGCTAGTAAGAGGTTCAAATCGAACCCAATCCGCATCGCACACCCTCTCAAGCAGCTCCAGCTCCCCGAAGAGGCCAACGAACGGCGAATCGTCGTCAACCACAACGGCCTCCAAGCCAACGCTAACGCCGCCACCGGCACCTCGGCCATGCGCCAACGATGAGCCTGAGAGGCCCACTTGCTTCTCCTCCGTGCTCGATGCCGCATCTGAAACAGACCGTGTTGCTTCGTCGTCCGTGCGAGCGGTAGGTGTGTTATTTGCGGCGCGGTCGGTGCCCGGTGGACGAGCCAACAGCGACCCCAGGAGAGCCAGGACCATATTTCGCGGCGAGAATTGTCCCTCTTCTTGTCCTCCGCTTGCAAGGGGCGGAAGGATAGGAAGGGGGAGGCCCGACTCTGTCGTCTGGGGGGCGATGTAAAGGGCTCCGGCCAGTCCGTTGTCGAAAGAAAGACACCTGCGGCAGGTTGTTTTGGGTGTTGATAGATGGAGGTGCTGGTTCGCGCCCGGTTTGCACGTATGTGTGTTTGGTCGTCTGTTGAAAACTTCAAGGCCAAGGTAGCTTATTTGAAGTGCAGTGGTAGAGGGCACGCCTGGTGCTTCCAAGCCGCACAATGCGTTACGTTTCTTCTTTTCCACGATAGCATTGGCTCGAGTCTAGTAGTCGCGTGGCTGGCCAATAAACATGCACCGACGGACAGAAATTTCTCGATTTTTCGCATATACTTGAGTGAGTCCATGCTTTCGCGTATATGTGTCTCTTCCAAAGCGACCCCTCCAAAAGTCTTGCCCTCGAATCCACACAGCCACTACGTTTTGTACCGGCTACGGACGTACACACTCACCACGCCACGAGCTGACTTCCTCTCCGGATTCCGGCGGAAGGGTTTCGGCCAATCAGGCCACGCACCAGCGCCTCTGATCTACCGACCTCCCCGAGTCCACTGGAGCAGCAGCGGGCGATGAGGCCCACGTCTTCGAGGGTGACGGGTCTCACTTCCGCCTGGACAAATAGGACGCCAAACAGGGACGTTGAGCGGGTGTTTTTCGTCGCAAATGTTATAAAATATTTGCATACAATCAAAGATAAACTGCCCAATCGAGATGCGCTCGTCACTTCACATCGGGAAAAGCCACAAACAAAACATCACGCGGTGCATGTATTTGTGAGTTTTTATGGTGGGAACGCACAGCAATCCCTTACCGATGTTATCGAGGTATCGCCGGCGGGTAGCACGGCGCCGGGTCGAAGCTTCCACATCCCGCTCCTGTTCGAGATACGAGGAAAGTGGTCACACGCCGGTAGAATTACTCTTGAGCAACTACTTTGTGTGTTCCTTCATGTTTTTGAGGGAAAACGCTGTTTCGACAAACAGGTCCGCCTTGGGTTCACGAAACGTCTCTTTTCCGCATGCAACCCCAATTAACTAGGCACGACGGCCGGCCGGCCGGCCGGACAAGGGGGCTCACGGGCGTGATCGACCATTCCCGTGGAACGTTGGGCAAGCTGTTGTGTTGCTAGCAGTAGTCAACCAACGGTGTCTGGGTACTTTTTTCCTATGCGTACTGACAATCGTAAATAGATCGTGGAGACTGGTTTCACCAAGCACAGCGGCCGGCGCTTCAGGGGAAACTCGATCGCTGCTACTCTCAGCGAGTTGCCGCAAGATGGCCATTGCCGAAATCCGACCAACAAGACTAGCAGTAAATCAAGCCCCATTCAGGCAGAATGACAGAATCACAACGCAGAAACGACCCAATCCAGCTAACAGAACGCACACAATATATATGCATCGACATTTCACATGCGGTGGATATGGCTTGGCTCCACGTTCAGGCGCTAAATAGGGCGAGGACACCAAGGATCAGACGCACGCGGCCTACACCCCTCGGAACACTGCGACCTCCTCCCCTCTACCACACACCTGGATCGTTTTTTGAGACCAAGTCCGAGCCTCCTCATCGTCGAAACTAGGGCGTCCTCCAAAATCCTCGAGTCCAAGGACTCGAACACGACCCCACGATCGCTGCACCCTGGCCCCGTCGACCGTCTCCCCGAAACCTCGCCGCTGCTTCCTCTGGTGTCGTTGCTGTTGTAACCCCGGGCCACGGTTTCCTCACCCAACGCCGCCGCCCCCACCGGCGGGACTAGAAGCCCGACCGCCCCGGGTTGCACGACGGCGGCGGCGAGAGCTGCGCCTGAGTTAGCGCTGAGACTGAACAGGTTGACGCGGTGCCTGGAAACGTAGGAACGTTGGTTGGGGACCGAGATAGGAATCGGTATAAAGGGACGGCTGAAGATGTTACGCCGAAAAAGTGCACCTCTACAACAAGAAGCACCACTCTACGAGTTCGAGCGAGTCAAGTATGTTTCAACAGCTACGGCGGTGGTGTTTCAGCGGCTACGGGATAGCAAAGAGCAGGCGCAGCGAATTCTGAAGGGAGAGGGGTTTCCCCACCACAGCGCGGCCAAAATAGCAGCGCTCTGCTCACGAACAGGAGGAATATGAGCAAACGGTATGATGAAAAGATAATTGTCTTCCGGCAATGCAACCACGCCACCCTCCCGTCAGTCGCAGCCATCTCTAATTATCCCACTCTTACATGCCCTGTTCCGGGGAGCAGGAAACCACGGCCACGGAGGATGGCTCCGCAACAGAGTCGGCCAACGCCCTCCCACCACGCACGCGTCGTTGCTCTTGGCCGTCACCGCTTCTGCTCCCAATTCGCTGGTGCTGCTGCGCGCAACCGCCTTCTATGAGCTTGAGGGCGTTGAGCGCTGGTAGCGTGATTGGCAGGTTGCTACGGAGCCATCGGGACACGAACTCGGTGGCGGCCACGCCCGTTATCTCCTGCACCGGGGACTCTACCGTCGCCGCTCCGCCTCGCTGTTGTGGTGGTTTGGGTCCAGCCGAGCGGCGGGCAAGGGCAAAGAGAGACGTATGCTGTCGACACCACTGACATGATTTATTATTGTTATAACGAAACAACAGGCACAGGCTATATCTACAACTGACCTTTGCTCGTACATATCGCGGAGCAACAGAGGTAGGAGAGAGAGGCCACACCCGTCATGTGTCCATACCATCATCACGGTCGCCATCACGAAATGCGGCGTAATTCGTGACTTCAGGCACACACACAGATTGTGCAACGCGCCTCGTACCCCGTCCGCGCGTCGTACCTCTCTCTCCTCCACCACCATCTGCAACACGTAGTCCCAAGCAGGGCTTTCCATGCCTTCGATGACGGAACCAACGGTCCCCTGCTCCATCAAGGATCGAACCCATTCCTCGTCTTGTTCGTCGACAGCCATGCCTCCTCCTCCGCCTCCTCCTACCCCTCCTCCCGGTGCTCCTCCGGCCGCCGCCGACTCTCCCGGAGGTTCGCCTTGAGCTACCATAGCGTCCGCCCAATCGTCCCAGTCCGACGAGGCATTGGAGTCTGCTCTGCTCCTACTACTGCTGTTGTCCCCGTTCGTCGGTTGTGGGGCCACCTCCATATCGTCAATATCGGGAGTCGGTGGCGGCGACATTCGCTGCCGTTTGTGGTTGCCGTTGTCGGTCATGTCCTGGGTCTGCTCTTGGAAGACGCGTGTTTATGCTCTATGTGTGCTACGCAAAAAACTTCCTGTGGAGTCAACGAGTCAGGTGCTCGGTGTGTGCCCCGGAGGTGGAAGCTGGGGAGTGCTCCCGCTCTATGTTGCGTTGAGATGCTGAGATCTACGAGATCTACGAGATCTGCGTCTGTCCACGTCCCCCGGTTTTTCTTCCGCTCTTGCGCTCGTCCGCCAATCTCATTCATACTTAGCATGATGGCAGAACAGCGGCCTGGAAGACTATTGCGTCTGGTGGCGGGCGTCGTAGTAGTGGCAACGCTCTGCGTTGATCTCGCGAGGAGCTTTGTGGTTCCTGTGGCGACGCCGTCGGTGCCAAGCCTAGCAAACGCGGGTGCTCCTTCCTCTCCAACATGCCCCAGAGCCCGACAGCAGGAAAAGGTGTGTTCGTGTGCTGACACCTGTGGTACATAGATTCCCCCAGGTGTCATGAAAGCGTGTGACACCCACTGGTCGTGGATGTCCGACTGGTCGACAAAGCTATTCTCGCCTTGGAGCTAGCGCATCATGTCCGCAAGTCATCGGGTGCGCCGGGGATTCAAAACGCCAAAACCAGGGGGCGTAGACGTCAGCACCCGACTCTGACAAGGTTTCAACCCAACCAACAAGGTTCACACACATATCATAACTGCTGTTGTCATGGCATCCTCATGGCAACCTCCATGCTCTTTGATCGAAATATTGTCTTGACTCCCTACCTATAGCGCGACGTTACTGACTTGAACATCCGCGACGAGAGCCACGCCCGTCAAAAGACACGCGTGTGTTGGTGATTTTAGAGTACATGAACACCGCCGCCGATCTGCACCTGTCCCTGCAACACCTAACCGACCTTGTGTACGAACCGAATTGGGTACGGGACCTGTCCCAAGGTTGAGGTTATCACTGGTTCGATATGCAGTGAGGTGCGTAGGTCGTTGTCCCAAAAATACACCCCGATCGGGTAGATAGTGTTGCTCATTTCCAGGGGGGTGGTATTCGCCGTCATGAGGCCTAGTGGGTGTTTCACATCGTTTCTTTTAGTAGAATAATGATGTCGGTTTGGTATGGTGGGTCTTTACCACTTCTGCCGAAGTCGATCATGGAAATGTGTTGTAGACTGCTGGAGAAGCACTGGGACGTGGTGTGTATGCCATGCGGGTCCTCATGCTATCGCTCTCACGTCCGTACCGGCTCTCTCGCCGGTGTTATCCGTCACGAGCGTGCATTTTGACCAGAGCACCAAGATCGCTCAAACATGAGCCAGCAACGCGGTATCCACTCGCGCCAATCGCCACCGGTGAACACACAGCAGTGCATTACACTGCTTTCACACCACCACAAACCAACATTGTATCACCAATCGCCGCAACGAGAAGTCAGTTAAGTACAGCAGTACGTTCCCCCACCAGCAGGCCTTAACTCCCCGCACAATAACCTGAGACGATTCTGTGTGGATGGTGTGACCTTTGTCGTCGCGGTCACCTTTGTCGCCCCTTTTCGGCCGTTGTTTGTGCTCGCCGGGTGCTTGGTGTTTGTCAATTGGCAGGGCGGCAGAGCAGCACGATCGTCGCTTGCCATGAGCAGCAGCTCCTCGGACTCTCCTCCGACACAGACGCCGAAGTCGGAGCGGTTGGAGCCGGCACCGTCCACGTTCGAGCAGTGCATACGACAGGCGCAGGTATGGCAACGTGTTGCAGTGTATAATGGCCGCAGTAAGTAATTTGTTACACCGTCCTGTGACATTTTGCTTTGTTGCGAACGTGGAAGCCACAGCGAAACAAGAATCTCAACTTAAAATGTTGGTTGGGGTCAACCAAAGGTACATTGGTCGTAAGGACGTTGTAAGTGATACCTGCTGCTGTGATGGTGCTGTCAAGAACGTGGACGCTGAAGCATGGGTTGATTGTGATGAGACCTCACCCTCTCGTCGCCTCGATGATCCGACAGTCCTCTCTCTCCTTAAAGTCGTCGTGATTGCTACCTCAACTCATTGTTCGAAGTATTGCGTGAGTGTTGCGTACTGGGGCAACCTCGTCGACCAGAAAGGCCGTACTTCAAGCGCGCAACTCGAGCAATGCGGGGGGTAGGAACGGGAATTGCCAGCCTTACGCGCAGCACACCCACAGCTTCCTCCTCTGGCTCGTTGCTGATTTCCGCACCAGACGGCGTTATGGCGCAGTTTCCCGAAGTGATTGGTTGTTCATGCCTCCCCCCTCTCCTCTTTCATGTTTCTTCACATTACTGCTGTGGAGGTAACATCTCCGAAGAAAGGGGTCCCATGCCCCCGACGTCTGTCGAGGACCATCCCCTCTTTTCTTGACAAAGAGAGACCTGGGGGTTAGAGCAGCACGCTTGGGGGTTGGTCTGACCGACTCTCTTCTTCCCCTCAACGTCGTTGCCCGTCAGGGTGCGGTGGAGGACGCCTTCGAGGACGGCTTTAACCTGGTCGAGGTGGAGTTCCCCCCCCTGCAGCAGGACTACCTGGAGGACTCGGGAAGCTCGGCGTACGACGTCTCCAGCGCCAACGTCCGCCTCGCCTCGCGCTTCGCGCAGAGCTTTGCCGCGGAGGGAAAGGTGGGATTTGCTAGTTCGCAAGGGACGATACGGCCAGGTGCACTGGCACAAACGATCTATATTAGTACAGCTGTGCATCACGTGGAATCACAGCCGGTTGTCGACCATCCCAAGCGGGAGGCGGGGCTGACTTGGGGCCGCCCTCTGCGCTAGTTCGATAAAACTTTGGTTGTATCCCCATCCTCCATTATGTTATTGGTCGGTTCACGTCGATCCCGTGCCTATCGTTTGCTCTATCATTATTCCCAACATTCCAAGTCTAGTCTTTCACCAGGTACGCTAGTAGAGCCGAGCTGGGGGCGTTAGAAACCGCAATCAAAGCACTGGACTAGGCTGTCTAGTCTAATGCTTTGATTTCGGTTTCTAAAAGGCAGAACAACATTTGTTTCCTCTCCCGCCCTCCCCTGCGGCTCCTTCTGCGGCACATGCTTTCATATATTGTTGGTCTTTCTTTCGGGTCTTTCGAAGACACCGCACTATGCCCTTGTTGCCTTTCCATGTCTGCCACAAATGGTCGTGATCCTGCCCAATAGAGCAGGCCGGAACCGTACACCAGCTGGGAAAACCGCGGCGAGTTCTTGTCCTAAACCCAATTGTTTTGCGCCGTAACCAAATTTTGTTGTGAAGTCGTTTGTTTGTTTGTTTGTTTTGTTTCTACTCGCGATGGCTTGTTTTTTGTTTCGTTTTGTTTTTTAGGAAGTGTCGATCCTCCTGCCGGACGAGGCGGAGTTAGACCAAGCCGCGGACGACGAGGGTGGGGTGGAGATCTCCAAGGGGGTCACGCTGCGCACGCTGCGCAGCAGTGGGTAAGACACACCACAGGTGTACAGAGGGAGGGACAAGAGAGCCGAGCGGGGGCAGGGGCAGGGAGGGAAAGTGAATGATGGTCCCATACGCGGGTGGCTGGGTTGTGGTTTGGTTGTCGGTTGGGAATTCCGCAGCAGGCGAGAACCAGACGCGGTGCATGCTTTCTGCCTTTGATCCACTTTGGACACTACTGTGTTCGTAGCGCACGGAAAACACTCACGGACCCTGATCTAGACGGCTACATGTAGCTCGACTCTGTTCCCTGGTCCATGAAGATAGTTAGCGCATCTGATGTATGTCCGTGTTACCTGCTAGATCTAGCCGTCATGATCGATGCTCGAGGACAGCGTTATGATGGGTGCCCTGAAACTGCTGGGCTTTTTTTTTTCGTTACGTACTTTCACGCTGCTCACGTGCGATGCTCCCCGCTCCCGGCTTGTCACTTCAATAGACGCCACCGCCGTTTTGTCGTGACTAATATTGTTCTCTATGCTGGTTGGTGGTGCGTGCATCCAGGAAGCGGACGGCGGCGACTCTAGACGCGCTGTTCATGAGCTTCGTCGGCCGCGGCACCGGGGTGATCGAGGTAAGCCAGCCACCCCGGCGAGTGACAGCGTCGATGGTACTCCTCTCTGTCCTCACTTCCCCATCCTGTTGGAGCGAGCTTTCGCGGTTTCGTGATTTTGTTGCTTCTTTGTTTTGCGACGTAGGAGGAAGGAGGTTGTGCAACAATGGGTTCGGGGGTTCTTTGATGGAATGCCGTCCATAGGCTGCGCAGACCGAGCGAGCCCGTGAGCCTTTGAACAGCGGTTAAGAGGGGCTTGCACTTGTTTTTTCTCTATGGACTATTCCCGTTTGCTACATTGGAGTTGCGATATCTTGGCTCAAACTGCCGCCACTGTACTACTGATCGCTGTCGCCACTCTTATTTTTGTGTGGTGATCAAGGAATAAGCGCTGTAGACCCTCTCCAGAACTCATGGAGCCACATGCTCGAAAATACAGCACAGACCAGCGGCAACCAATACTATTTAGGACTCGTTGGTGTCTCCCCTAAGGGTGATGTTGCACAGCTCTCTTGATGTTCGCAAGCTTCCGTTTCTGGCGCGTTGCGAAACCCATGACCCCCCCCCCCGCGCGCGCCGAATACCTCATGGCGCGTCGCGCTTGGTGATGTGAGAACCCGGTCCGGTGGCAACCCGACGTGCTCCGTCCCGGCTTTGTAGGGATGCGAGGTCAATGGTCTAACCGCTAAGACATGCAAAACATAAGAGTAACCCCCCCTCCCCCGTCATGCCTCCTTTCGTGCGCGGAAAACCAGCCAATAGAGGGGACGGACATATACGTGGCCCTGGTGTTCTCGTGCCAGGAGCTGCCCGACCTGCAGGAGCTGAACAAGCTTGTGCCCGACGCGAAGATCGTGTTCTTTAACCTAAGGCTGGACACTCTTCGGGGCGACCTCGGGTTGCCCGCCTTCCCCCCGAAGGTGATTGTTTTTTTGTCTTTGTTGCGCTTGGCGTTTCTGTCGAAACGAAACGTCGAGCTTGGCGGGGGCTGTCAAGAGCTTGCTTTTGAAAATTGGACGTTCTTGACTGCTGTGTGTCCTCTGACCCGGCTTACCCCCTGCCTTGGTTGGCACGGTTTCTGCTGCTTGGCCGTGAGTGCGATCGTTGTCCTCCCTCACTTGGGCGCGACACGTTTGGGGGGCGACACTGCTCGACTATCGCCCGCCCCCGCCCCCCCCCCGCTCTCTCCTAAACGCAGCTTTGAGAGGTAGCCGGCATTCGATTATTGCGTTATTTTGATAGTCGTGTGTACTTCCAAATACTATGTGCGGAAGTCGACAATGGAGAGTGCAATAATGACGAGAATTGTTGGGTGAGGAAACATCCTACTTCCGACGTCACGTAGAATTTCCTCTTGGTGTCAGGCCTTCCTCTGCCGCAACGTTGTTCTTTGATTTGCGTAACAAACGTTTGTGGATTTGTCGCGGGGAGAGAGAGGACATGCTATTGGTAGGAAAAGAAGGAGTTGGCCTGGAATACATCCAGACACGTTCAACATTCCAGACAAACGCAAGCACCCCTATCAATAACTCACCCGTCCGCCGCTCGCTGTCCCCCGCCCGCGTCACTTGCAGAGCCTACACTACGACTTCCTGTCTCAAATCAAGCCAGTCTACCTGCTCCGCACGCGCGCCTACTCTCGCACCATCTCCAAGAAGCCCTTCCTAGTCAACTACCAAGGGGCGCAGTTCCGTGTGTACCCGGGAGAATACCAGTGTCTGCTTGATGTCGGGAGCCGATACAAGAGGGTGAGCGGGCGGGGAGACCCAAGGAGGACTTTTTTCTTGGGCGTGTGTGTGTGTGTGGGGGGGGGGGGGGGGGGGGGGGAACCCAAAACCGGGCTGGCCGAAACCTTTTGACCTTTACCCCCCCCCCCCAAAAAACCGGG